ACTAACTGTTGGCGTTGTTTTTCTCGTGCCATTTTTGTTGCTCTTGGCTGTGAAGCTAAGTTGCTTTTAGCTTCACCTCTGTATAAAAGATTGAGCCTATGAACTGGATTTGCAGAAACCAGATAGTAAACTTCATTGCGAAGTTAACTCAGGACGGCGGAGCTTCGAGCCGAATCGCTGAATTGGGGACTTTAAATTTGTGTTTTATGGACTTTCCTTATTTTGGAGTCTTTAATTTATGCTTTAGGACGTACAGAAATAACGTACAGAAATTGTTGCCCGGGGTTGTCTTGTGTATAATTTACGCATTTAAAAATCCGACTGATTTAAATAGCGGATATTTTCCGTACATAGTGCCTTGATACAAAAAATATTCACTGGTTTTGCTTCATTTCTGAAGAGTAAAAATTAACAGATCAAATTTTATTGATTTATTGTTTTGAACTGCTAAGGTTTAAACTTTGGCTTCAAATCCCGTCTGTCTGTTGTCTTTTTTGTCAATACCCATTGGTGATATATCGAAAAGAGCTAGAAACATTCAAATCATGAGTTGTTTGTTGTGTAAATTTTTTTAGGAAAGTGCTCCCTTTATCTTGTCAAAAAGTTTGTCAGATGAATTTTGGTTAAGTCGTGGGTGGATATAGAATTTAAGCGTGGAGGCGCCGTTTTTTTAAAAAAAAAATCGGATGCAATAAATCTTTTTTCTTAGGTAGACCAATTGATTTTCTGAGCTATTTTATATAATTTTCGAGACCCGATATTAACCAAAAAAATATGCGCATTAGGCGATAAACTGCCCGCGACCTCCCTCAAGTCAAGTCGTTTTGGTGTTTCGCGATTTGCGCCTTTAGGCTCAGCCAGATGTGGGTTTCACAAAATAGTACCATAGAAGGAGTCCTTTGGGTGGCGAGGTTGTCCAATTCTTGGGCGGGATGTCCAATCTGTTCCTTGATTTATTAATATTATTATTATTATGACTTTACAACTCAAAGGAATTGATGGGATTTCTCCCGAAAGCTATAAGCGATTAGCAACACAGGATAGACATTCACAGTGCATTGTCCAGGTGCAGCTTCTGTGGAAATACTGCCAGACAAAGGAAAGGAGTCTTGGTTTAAGTTCGACTACACTGAAAAAATCGAGTTTTAGGGGAAGGCGGTTCACTAGGCGCTGACATCTTCTCAAGAACAGACAATTAGTTCTCTTCAATTTAGTGGGCGGAAAATGAAAACGCAGGTAGTTCGAGTTCCTGGTGTTCGTATCGGCAGCAAACTGCACAAAGTTGTTCCAGTTGATAACACTCTTTTTGTTGATAAACTTGAATGTCAGCAAGTCTACTACTTCCATTTAGAGTGACAATGGAAGAAGATTGAGTGAAATTAATCGGCTTTAATAAGTATTTCGATCTGGATAACTAAGTATCCAATTGGTTATCCGTCGTTGAACACACTCAACTTTTCTCATTTCAGTGCGATTGGGTGCCCAGCAAGAAGAACCAAATATTGCGACAGGTAGTTTCATGTTTTTATAAACTGAAAGTTTGACTATCGTTGTCGTACTACAAGGAATGTTTCTCTGAATCATGCCAAAGATAAGGTTTGCTTTGTTTGTTCTTGATGAAACGTGATGGTTCCAAGATATGTTGTTCGATATGATAATGCCAAGATCTTTGATTCGGCTCGCTGGCGCTAATGGAGTTTCCCCTAGCGAGCATTTTAAACATGTTCCTCGAAAAAGTAGATTATGACATTATTCAACGATAGTCAAACTTTCAGTTTATCAAAAAACATGAAACTACCTGTCGTAATATTTGGTTCTTCTTGCTGGGCACCCAATCGCACTGAAATGAGAAAAGTTGAGTGTGTTCAACGACGGATAACCAATTGGATACTTAGTTATCCAGATCGAAATACTTATTAAAGCCGATTAATTTCACTCAATCTTCTTCCATTGTCACTCTAAATGGAAGTAGTAGACTTGCTGACATTCAAGTTAATCAACAAAAAGAGTGTTATCAACTGGAACAATTATTCAACTCTATCATACGATGCACATTACTGCATCAGACTTTCAATATATTCGGGTGCAGTTAATCATATTTTCCTCCTTATTTACAACCCCCCCGCTTCGTCGCAGTTTCGGATACCTGCCAAAATGCTTACTGATTCAATACGTTATTTTAACTCCAAATTGATTAATGGTTCTAGTTCGTACACAATCTTAGGTGACCTAAATCTGCCTGATATCTGTTGGGCATCTTCTGATGGTGGCTGTGATTACTCGAAACTGTTCCTAGAGGTTATTGAGGATCATAGCTTAATGCCCCTTATATATGAACCCACACATCGCTCAGGCAACACTCTTGATATCATTTTAACTTCGCACACAGAATTGTTCACTGCATTTGTAAATGAAGTGCTTTACTCAGACCATTTTCCTTTATTTGCTTTTTTTACCATTCCTGAAGCAGCGCCTACTGTGAGTGGGAATTTTATGAAATCCTCTCTATCTAAATCATCTTTTTCTCATTCGATCTTCAATACTAACATCAGCCCTTGCTTTACCAAACTCATTGTGGAACAAAACTCATGTTATTCCATATCCACCACTAATGATTATGTAGATAGCTGGTACGCTCAGATCAATCATGCAATTCTTTCATCATGCGCACAGAAAACTAAAAGACGCCAGCAACTTCCCTATTATTATTCGTCGCATACAGTTCATTTACTGAATAAGCATCATTCCATATCTAAACGGACAGCCAACACAAATCATTTAGCTTCGATCCAACAAGACCTTAACAATTCAATCGAATTGGATAAAACTTGTCTCCTTGAATCTTTAAGACCAAATTCTACCCGTGATTGCTTTAAATACCTTCGATCTTTTACCAGAAGGAAACTACCAAACCAAATGCACTGGATGAATAGAAAAGCATCCACTTCTATTGAAATAGCCATTCTTTTGAACGATTACTTCTGTTCAGTGTTTCCAGAAAAGCATGAAATTCAAATCTTACAACCCGAAAAACCCACCATTTTTCTATCCGATCTCCATGTCAACCTTAAAAAGGTCGAGAAAGCTCTCAAATTTGCTAAAACTTCTTGTATTACCAACGACCGCCTCCCAACCTTTATTCTTAACTACTGCAGTGAATTAATATCTCCTCTAGTCGTGCAGCTCTTTGTCAAGGTTTTGGAAACTAAAACGTGGCCAGAACTTTGGAAATGTGCGTTTATTACGCCAGTTCTTAAATCTAGTAATCCCGAAAATGTTGAAAATTATCGCCCGATTAGCATATTGCCTCAATTATCGATTGTTCTGGAGAGAATGATCTTCGATTTCATTTATCCTAAAATTCGGGCTAAAGTTAGACCTGCTCAACATGGTTTTATGACCAAGCGATCGACTGTTACTCAGCTTCTTGAATACCTAGATCAGATTTATAACGACGTCGAGGCAAAAAGCGAATGTGTTTCTGTGTACTTCGATTTTCGCAAGGCTTTTGATCAAGTTCCTCATCATATACTTATTTTGAAACTTGGTAATTTAGGCTTTGACGTTAGCTTTCTTGAACTTTTTGCTTCCTATCTCACAAACCGCACGCAAAATGTCTTAATTAACAATGAAGCATCTCCAAAAGGCCATGTAACAAGTGGTGTTCCGCAAGGAAGTGTACTCGGCCCTTTGCTATTTATACTCTTCATTAATGACATGCCAGCTGTCTTGAAAACCTCTAAATGTTTTCTGTTTGCTGATGACAGCAAACTCTGTTCAAAATATGACTTTTCCTTAGTTCAAATAGACATTGATCTATTTTATCAATTGGACGCTTGAAAACGAAATGACATTTAATTCTGATAAATGCAAAGTTATTTGTTTTAACTCAACTTCCCCCAAATCTACACTTTGCCTTAATGATTACCCAATTCCGTCAGTTTCATCTATCAAAGATCTCGGAGTAACGATATCTAGTGATTTAAAGTGGGACATCCACATTAAAACCAAACTGGTTGCAGTTAACAAAGCTTTCCATATCTTGAAACGTTCAATCCCTTATGGAGTATCCATGAGAACCAAATTCAAATATTACCAGCTATGTATTGTGAGTATTTTATTATACGGTAGTCAGGTCTGGTTTCCATCTTTAACATATCGCCGCAAACTAGAATTATTTAACAGAAAATGTTTGAAATGGGTAACGGGAGTCAACGACTATACAGAACAACTTAGAAAAACGAATTCCTTGCCAATTTCCTTCACTATAGCTTTACATGATATGTGTTTTCTTAATCGAGTCCTGACTGATCAATTTGATTTCAACCTTTACAGATACATAAATTTTACCTTTGCAGCCAAAGACCTTCGCAATAGCTCACGCCCTAAGCTTTCAACAACCCAGAATTGTCGACTCTTCTTTACAGAGCAATTTTTCTTCTATCGCGTCTGTCGGTATGCCAACATGATTTCAGCAAACAACATAGCCGACATTTTCTCATCGCCTGAAATTTTCAAAGCAAAATTGAAAATCTATCTGAAAAATAGAATTGATATGTTCAACTTAAACAACTCTTGTTCAATGCTACTTTGTTGCCATTGCATAAATTGCCGTTCGTGATGTCTTGTGTACATAATCATACCGTTTCTTTTGTTTGATGCCTTTATATTTTAAAGGGAATAAATTCTTTTAGTAGTAGTAGTAGTAGTCAACGGCAAACTGCATACCATTGGGGTCAGCCCACAAAAGAAGGCTATTAATTTCGGTTTGCAGTACGTTGACATCTGTGATGGAAGATTCTCTTGTCAGCAAAAGTTTCAAGTCTTCTGCGAAGAGGTATATTGTACTGTAGCTGTGGTTTAGCTCTGTTCAAAGTTGTCACTGTTGAAAAAGATAATCATTTTCCTGCTTCAGACTTTAGACAGCCGTAATTAGTATTTCATTTTAAGCCTGATACATTAGTAGTCAACTAAAAGCAGGTTGGCGCAAGTGGTTTTGGCTCGTAAAGCAGGGCTCGAACCTGCGATCTCTAGATTGATAGTCTGGGGCTTTTACCGATTAAGCTATTCACGAAAGGAAGTAACCACTATGCTAAGCCTGCCCGCCAAATTCGTGCTCGAGAATTTACTTATCTTTATTGTTACAAGTCATAACCTACTATGGTTAAGCGCATGTTTACTTTAATACCATGCTATGATGTGCAATTGAATTACATGCTGTTTCTCATCGAATTTTGCTACACTCAAGTTCCTCAATTTTTTTTTCTTGTAAATTGACATGTAGATACACTCAAAAAATTCTCAATTTCACAGGGAAAATTAGGAGTAAGGAGAAAACTAAGAAGTTTTTTTAATTATTTTCAGCTGTTGCAAAATTCGCTTGATGTTTTTTGCAACTTTTTGGAGGCTGAAGTGTCCTCAGTTTTGCCAAATTTTGTTTAAAATAAAGATCTGGCAATATTATGAAAAATGTATCCATAGTTTCAGGTCTGAAATGGTTGTCGAAAAAGATATCTCGTCTTCGGACGTCAAAGAGTTCATCAAGAAACTCAATATCACCAAAGTGAAAACATCGTCTGTCAAGGAGCCGAAAATATCCGTGCCGAAATCCCAGAAACGAAAATTAAATGCTCAGCATTTAATCGAAGAGGTAGATGAGTCGAACATGATAGTTAAAAAACCAATGAAAGTGAAAAATACCGAATATTGGAATGATTCCAAATCGACAAATAATGGCCGCGTGTTATTAAAGAGTTACGAGTCTTGGTTCACAATTCTATCAGCTGATTTTGATACAATGTGTTCTACGACAGGAAATTTACCCGAGGAAATCTTGATTGCTATTGAAGCTTACGTAGAGAAAGTTTTTGCGATGGAAGCTGAGCTCTATGCTTCGTTCAAAGCGGATTGGAAAAATGATCTTTTAACTTCAGGAACTAAAAAAGATCAAATAAATGCTAATTCTTCATTAATCCAGGCTTCGCCAATTCATAGGTTAGATCAACTCGATTCGTTGATAGATTCAATCAAAAAAGGGAAACTAAGAAAAGGAGTTGCTGAAAAAAGTAGTAAAAGTTCGGATAACTTTTCCCGAGAGCAAGTTCTATCGGCTATTGAAGCCTTGGAAAAACTCTGGACTACAATTCTGCTTCCGGATCGCGATTTTATTCCATTTGAGAAACGACCCGTAACCGAGGTTCAGTCGATGGCCCAAAATGATCCAGTAGCGAGAAATAAAATTCTGATAATTTGGTATTTTGAGAGTCAACTAGAGCAGAGATTCAAGACTTACGTGAACAATTTGAATTTCTGTCTGCACGACACAGTCGAGAAAATACGAGAGCGAGCTATTCGGTCTATTCTGATTTTGCTGTCAACTAAACCCCACTTGGATAAAAGTGACGGCAGTTTGAATCTACTTGGAATGATGATCGATAAAACAGGAGATCCTAATAGACCTGTAGCTTCCTATGCGTCGCATTGTGCTGCTTCTTTACTCTTCAAAAGCGCTACCTGGAAGGAACCACTGATAATAGAAGCTGAAAACGTGATATTTAAACTGCAAAATAAAAGTTCATCCAAAGAAAATTCAAAAGCGAGTTTCTCGAATGCAATGCATTACTGTGTATGTTTTTTGAACCAAATTGTGCTTTCGAAAGAAGAGCATAAAATTGCGGAAAGGTTGATGTTCATATACTTGAGCTTATTCAAAGTTGTATCGAATAAATTCGACTTTTTGGCTGAAAAAAGCGATAAAAGTGACAAACAAACTGCGAATAATCAGCAAGAAATGAGGATTTTAACGAATATCTTAACCGGAATTCATCGAGCTATGCCTTATTGTAAATCAGATGAAAACGCAAAATTAATGGATCAAATTCATCTGTTTTACAGAATTGTGCATACCAAGAAAATCAATACGAGTATTCAAGCGTTGATGATATTGCTAGAAATGGCTTCAGTTGACCCCTCTCTAAATGACAGATTTTACTCTGCATTTTATAGAAAACTGTTGGAACCAGGTTTGGCTCAAAGTCACAATCTCTCGCTGTTATTCAACCTTATTTTTAAAACGATGAAAAGAGATAAACGCAAACAGCGACAATCCGCTTTCAAAAAACGCCTGCTACAATTAGGTTTGACAAGTAACCCGCCTTTTACATGCGCGTTGCTGTGCCTTCTTAGTCAGTTTGTCGAAAAACCGAAAGTCAAATCAAAAACCGATAATGAGTCATCGGTTAAAAACAGCTCGAAGAAAAATCAAAATAAGACATTTGAGGCTGCTGAAAAAATCGACCTCAATGATTCAGATGATGATGAGTACTTTGAAGATATAGACGAAGAAGGGAAAGAGAGAAATCCAAGTGAGAAAATGAGTACGTCTAAAAACAGCGCCTCAAAGGCCGCGTTTCCAGAAGAAACAATGAGCATGGTTAGTGAGTTTTCACATGGAGGAGACCTAGTTTTGGGTCAGACGTACAAGCCCAGGGCTATGAACCCAACCTACGCAGGAGCTGAAAAATGTCCCGAATGGGATTACTCATTGCTGGGCAAGCATTACCACCCATCTGTTTTGAAATTCACAAATGATGTGCTAAACGGAACGCTAATAGAGTACGCAGGAGATCCGTTAGTTGACTTTTCGGGGTCAAAGTTCATTGAACGCTTCATGGGCAAGAAGGTCAAAAACGTAGAAGAAAAGAAACCTGCTTCGCCGATGGCGCCGAAAACTAAACAGTTTATGCCTGGAGTGAAACAGTTGCTAACCGCAACTCAAGGTCCTGATCTAAGTTATATGGAAACATACAATAAACTGTGCAAAGACTTGAAAGCGAGTTCAAAATCGACAGGAAAAGTTGAAGATAATGGTCCTCAAGATGTCGAGGATTTGGATTCGGACGATCAAGATTTCGACCAGTTTCTGGACGCATTGGACGAGGAGCAGTTCAAAGCAGCTTCAGGTGGTGCTGAAATTGAACTTTATCACGATGAAGATGATGAAGATGACCTCATTTCTGAAGACGAAGATTTAGACCTTGACGAGGATGAAGAAGATGAAAATATTGTGAATGATGACAGTGACTTGGAAAACATTCAGTCTGATGATGATCTGTTTCTGTAAATGGACAAATAATTGATTAATTTATTGAAAACAAAAACAAAATTAACCATTTTTGCAACATCTTTTGAAATAGTGGAGCAGTGGTGAAGTGGTTACGTCTCCGCCTCTCAATCGAAAGGTCGGATGTTCGAGGCCCACCATGATCCGTGCTCGTTGCTTGAGGGTGAGGCAACATTACCCAGCCCAGAAAAATAACCAAAAAAATTGCATGTAGTTCTTAAGCAGGGGCACAACAGCGGTTCGCCGTGATGAGCTGTACAGCTCGTATGTTGGTCCTATCCCTCGTGGATAAATGATAAATGATAGTATAAGGAAATAGATTGCTCTGCGTAATATAACCAGAAAACTATATTTGCAAGAATATGAAAAGCTATATCAACAGATGAGAAAGCGTATCTATATCCAAAGAAGAGAAAAAATAATTTCGAATAAGCGTGTATATAAACAGAATTCATATTTGATTTAACCCAGAGAATATAGCGAATGGACCCGATTATAGCTATGAATCTTATACAGTTAGCTCGACCAAAAATATTTCGTACAAATAATATATAATTTTCAGCCTATAAGATTCGGCTTACATTTGCTTTAGGTTTGAAAATAAGGTTCACTTTAACACAATTCAAACGTCCCAGCCCCTCAGGAGTTTGACCCCTGTTCACCCTGAAGGCCACACTTTGCTAATTGACGACATCTATTTTTGGCTGACCGACCCAAAAATTGCTGTTAAGCATAAATCATAAATTATAGCAACGATCAGTTTTCAGAACGATTAAAATGAATATTTACCCGTGAAGGCTTCGTGCTTCCAACTCATGATTTCACTTGAATGACAATATACTAGTTACTCGAATAGGATGTTTAAACTCACACGTGATCCCCACACCGGTAAGTTAGAATGGAGTGTACTTCATAACAGTGCAGATGATTCTGAAGATACAGTCGGAGGTCTTGAAAGTGAGATTGCTCTTTCATCGTATGGTGACATGCTCCATGATGAAGACAGAAATAACAAGTATGCGGAGGCCATTACCAAGGCTGTTCGGTCACTGACAGACCTTAAAGACGGAAAAAGTAAAGTAAGTATGAAGGTTTTTTTTTTATTAAATGTGGATTTTATATTTAGTTGTAGAATTGCTGTTGGAAGGTTTGCGCCTAAAGAATTGTTAAGATAAAGATATCATTGCCGAAATCCTATCATCCGATTTTGTATGCAGCGGTTGCTCAGTTGACATAGAATGAGCTGCAAACGCAACATAACATGCGTTAAAACCTGGTGTTAACGTTTTTTATTAAATTTTTCCAAATTTAATTTCATTTTATTGCATTTAAGCAGGCCTATAATACGGTAATGAGACGTCAAAACTCACCTTTACCCCAGGAATTTGAATTTTTGATGCTTTTTTGGCGCCTTCTTGAAAACAAAATTTTCTTTGAAAATAACCAAATAAAAGAAACCTTCAACAAAAAAAGGTACAAAATTGTTTTGATTTTTTCATTTTATGATGATGAAAACTGTTGTCAACAATACGTTTTTTGCTATTTTTATCGTTTTTATCTATTTTCTAGTTTTTCGTTCGGATCTGATCATAGCCGATTGAGCAAAAATCATTGCAATATGCAGAAAAAGTATTTTTATTTTTTAATTTGGTCGGAAATTTCGGTGCTGCTTGCACAGCAACCGGCTATCCTTGTTTCTGATTTGAGTTTTGTGACCATTTTTGATATTAACAATTTGTTTTTTTTTGTCATTACACGAGCATCTTTTTTTCGTCTATACGTTGTAATATTTTTTTCATACCATTTCGTATTCACTTCCTATATGTTAAGAATGATGCTATTGGATTGATTTGATAATTTTCCAGAGTTCGTATAGATTTTTTGCATTTTTTGTGGCAATTGTTTGGAAGTTTTTTTATTCACGGGTGCTTTAAAATGTCAGTTTTTTTTAAAAAAAATTGTTTCTTAGTTTCAATGATTATAGCCAAAACACTTATATAGGTCGTGATAATTTTTTTCTTGGAAAAATTTGATTACGCCAAACATGACCTTTTGCTGTTTGACTTTTATTTCGCTTTAAGTCCAATTAATTTTGATTTGCTTAAAGGAAGGCAATTTACGTTCTTCTCTTAAGAAATAGAATGCAGAAATGGCCCAAAAAATTATGAATGACTTTCTGGTTCGAAACTGCATTTTAATTTTAAAATTAATTTCAAGTCCAAAACCAAGTTAGTTTATTTTTGTTTCAGGTGAGTTCATTGATACTTTTCTATTTGTTGTTTTTTTTGGATATTTTTCAATTTTCCTCAGTTCTAAGGTAGCAATGGATTTAGGTTTGAACTAAAATGTTTCTGATGGGCTTGCAATTAGTTTGGCTCAACTTTTTGCGCAAAGTTTTGTGTTATATTTGGGGACACGATTTTTAAACGAAATTTCACGTTTTTGTTGAATCTTTTCCAAGTTTTTGTTACGAGAAACTGCTAAATTATTTTGAATAGTTGAGGTAAAATGGTTTTGATCAGAGCTGCAAGAATTTTAATAGATTTTGAAGATTTTTAGCCGATAATTTTAACAATTTTTTTAGCTTGGGTTTTTTCATCAAGGTTTTTTGAGTTTGTGACTGATTTGGTTTTTTGATGACTTTCTTTTTGATTTAGTTATTACGAGAAATCTTCTGAGAAAATATTCAAATATCGTAACATTTATATAAATTTCAAATTTGAAGTAGTTTCACGAAATTTCTTGCTGTTTTTATTTAACTACAGTAAATTCACTCTTTTGTAACTATTGGTTGACCATGCTTTCATTACAGTTACTTTACTTGATACTTGTCAACTATTCTTTCTGCTAATAAAAATTACATTAAAGAGTTTTTGGATAGCTGAAATAGAATTTTGTTCAAGATTCATTGTGTGGATATTGGCACTGGAACTGGCTTACTGGCGATTCTAGCTCTCAATAGTGGTTAGTCATACATCTCTCTTTTTCAGCCATAATGGGCAAATGGGTTTTAGAAAATTCCATTGAACAAAATTTCGTGTTTATTTTTATTAAGAATGAGCTTAGTAGATTATTTAGGAGCTGATCTTCTCACTGCTTTCGAGTCTTTCCAACCGATGTATCAAATTGCATCTCAAACGCTATTGGACAACGGATTTGACCAATCAAGTGTCGAATTAGTTCCAAGATGCTCCAAAGATGTCAAACGAAGTGAACTTTCCCTCAAAGATGGAGTTAAGTTAATAGTTGCTGAAATATTTGACACTGAATTGATCGGCGAAGGTTGTCTCAGTACATTTATACACGCGAAGAAAGAGTTATTAAATACTTATAAACAGAGCGATGATTACAAATTTGTTCCTCATTCGGCAAAAGTTTTTGTGATTCCCTTCCAATCGAAATTCATTAGGAAGTTTTTGAGAATCGAAAGAGCATTTGGAGAAAGTTATTTTGGGTCGTATTTCAAGAATGTTCAAAGTTGTTCAGGACTTGCCTCGCCTTTAGAGCTTCAATTCACGCATTTATTGGAATCGGATTATTTGAAAGATGATTTTATCGAACTATCAAAACCCATCGAGGTTTTTGATTTCAATTTTTCGAACCTTTCGGAGGAAAATTTAGAGGAGAGCAAAGAAATAGATATTCCATGTACTAATTCAGGTTCAATTGACGGTATGTTGTTTTATTGGAAGCTATTTATGAATGATGATTCGGAAGAAAATGACATTGATTCAATTATTTCTACATCTCCTTTTAAGGAAAGTTTCAGAGATCTGAAAGCTCCATGGCGTGAACATTGGATGCAAGCTGTTTTTTGTCCGAAAAATGCTATAAAAGTTGAAAAAGGGAAACACATTAAGCTCAAATGTAATCACGATGAATACAATTTCTGGTTTGATATTAATTCTTTTTCGGAGCCAGAAAAATTGACAGACAACGAAATCAATCCCCCATCTTGTTTTTGTGGAGTGCATATTTGCCTTAATCGAAATCGGTTTCTGCTAGCCAACGATATTGATTACTTCGAGAAATACCGAAAAGCTCTTTTGACTTACAATTTGAGCTCAAAAACTGTTTTACTGGTAGGAAACTTCAACCTATTACTTGATTTAATTCTTTCCTTGAAACCTGCTAAACTTTTAATTTACGAAGAAAACACACTTTGTTTGAAAACTTTACGAAAAATTATTAAGTGCAATAGTATACCAAATATTGAAGTTGAGTTCCTACAAATTTTGCCTCAAACCTTTGAAGTTGATTTCATTATTGGCGAACCTTATTTTATGTCGTCGGAATTACCGTGGCATAATGTCCTAACTTTTCGACAAATTGTAAAGTTTGTTCAAAAAAATTCTAGCCAACCCTTTCGAGTGATTCCTTCAAAAGCAGTTTTAAAATGTGCTCTTGGACGAACGACTAATTTGCATAAAATTCGTGAACCGATTTCAGGATCAATTCATGGAATCAATTTACAAGCATTTAATCAAGTCATGACTAAGGTATCAAAATCTGCCTTTGCAAATGTTGAAAGTCATCGATTATTTCAGTACGAAACTTTTCTTCACACAAAACCAAAAACAATTCATGAATTCGATTTGAGTTCCGAAGAAAACGAAGAGAGTTGGATCTATCAATTTGACCTGAAAAATATTCTATCGGAGAAGAAAAACCGTTGTGTGTCAAATTGTTTATTCCTATGGATGGAATATGAATTGATAAGTTCGCAAACAGGTGGCGATTGTGAATGCAAAAATGTTGTCATATCGGAGGGCCTTTTGGATCAGTTGAATCAAGGAGATAATTTCGACGATAGAAATCAAACTGATAAAATTACTAACTGGAATCCCGTGTATAAGCAAGCTGTTAGCTGGTTTGATTCAAATTCTACGCAAAACATTCAGATTGAATATTTTTATGATACAAATGAAATAAATATCAAGTTGGAAAAATGAACTGAAAAAAAATTAGGCAACTTTTATCTCAATTTCAATAAAATTTTTTATTGATGATTATTTTTGCACAAGGTTGAATTATTGATTGGAAACATTATAAAATCAA